TCCATCCTTTGAGTGAGAGTGTAACGTTACAGGTCGGCCGATCTGGTTTCGTGGTTAAAGTTAACCTTTTCACATGTTTCCTTGTTGTTGCTCAGCAATGGCATGGACGCGATGTTGTCTGGGGGTTTAGCAAAAGGAGAGTGGGATGGTGGGCGGTGCTCGGGGTGGCGACTGAAGGCGGTGACTGTATAGTTCTGACGTCAACTTTTTACGGAAGTAACAACAGTTCGTGAAAAATCACAGCTACTTTATGCAGGCTGTGTGCATTTTACTGTGGACTGACTGTTTTGAAACTTATATGGTAGTTAAATAGCCCCTAGACCTCAGTTATCATGAAAAAAGCCAGGAAATTTCAGTTTTGACAATATGGGACCTTTAAATGGCATGAGACTTTGTGACTTCCCGCACTTGCTATACTTTATACTTCAATACAGTAAAAGTACTAAAATGTGTTACACTAGTCATTTTATAATAAATCCAAAAGCAAGACGTGAAAAAGCTATGGAATAGAAATGGCAACTGAGCTAATGAGTGGTCCTCTGCTGCCATCTACTGGTTATAATGCTAAATTCATGTCATTTTCATCTTAAAAAAGTCTTTGTTTTCTGCCAGGAGACACATTTTTGGCACATTTTTCATGTCATCTTCATGAATGAAAAGTGAATCTTTAAAGTGAAATTTACTGCACAACTGTAACTAATTAGTCACACTCCAGCCAGGCAACCAAAGTTGGCAACCCTATGTAAATACTTATTTTCATGGTTATAAAGGTAAGTTATCGATTATCAAGAATACCATAATGATGTCATTTATGAGAGCGCATCGATAGCTAGCTAACGTAAGCTTAAATAGTTACGATAGTGTTTAGTTGTAAGCATTTAAATAGGCCTACAATTACGTGTACCACTCCTGGTGTTACCAGGGTCAGCATATTAAATTTTATGTTGTTAAATAACGTGAAACTGTATGTTGTTAATGCCACTTTCATCATTAACAGTGTTGTAATTATTTTGTTTCTCAGTTTCTGAAAAGAACGAGGCAGGAGAGGTTTCTGTTTGCTTGATACCAGCCATCTTAGTCCATCCCTACATCTTATTCCATCTATAGCACACCCTTACATACAATTTTTGTCTATTTATGTTTATTTATATATACATGTGTATTTTATTCAGATATCTTTATTTTTTATTAGCTGTGTGTTGTTGTTGTCTCTGTGTACTGGAAGCTTCTGTCACCAAAACAAATTCCTTGTATGTGCAAACATACTTGGCAATAAAGCTCTTTCTGACTTCTGGTACATAAAAAATATTGGTTCAATTTTTTTTTCAAGCATTTTATTTTATAAATGTTTGACACTGACAGTAGGGAAAGCTGTGAACCCATAAAGGAGGAATATAGATATAAATAATTACAACGAAGTTTCTTCTGTCAGCACGACAGCACTTTTTTCTTTAGATATAGAGATATATTTCTATTTATCTTAAGTTCTATACATATTTTAATCTACAGTAGTCAACATTTGAAGTGGATCAAAAAAGTTCATCAAAGTTGTCCTAAGACAAGAACACATTTTGGTTGTAGGTTTTAGGACAACTTTGATGAAAGGTTTTGATCCACTTCAAATGTTGACTAGTGTATACCTGGTACTGAGCTGGTCTGAAGACAGGTTAAAAAATATATGAAAATCAAAATACATTTTAATTAAGAACATTCTAGCCACCATCTCTGATTAATTTCAATGTGCAAATGTTGCTATTTTAAAAATGAGTGGCAGGTAAAGTTGTTGTTCCATATGTCAAGAATCAGTAAAAAGAATAAAGCTACACATAATACCTTTGTATAATGACATAATATTCAGAAAGTTAAGAAGGCAAAATTATTGACTGCTCTTAGTTTCTTTCTTATATTTCCAAAGATTTACATTGTGTGTTTTCCATAAATAGAGGGAATGTTGCCAAAACTGGTTTCAAGGAAGGGATTAATCAACAGCTGGTTTTATGTCACACAGGGAAAGGAAGGTTTCAGC